CTGCAGGGAACTCTGCAAAAAACGCATCTTCGCACGGGCAGCCCGTGCGTTGGCCAATTTTTTTACAATAATGCAATAGGTTGAACAAGTTTTAAGTGCTTTCTGAAAAAAGGAGGGAAATACCGTAACTGGCTGCACCATGCCGCATTGTTTTAAAAATACACTTATTCAGCGGAACTGCCAAATTGGCCGCGATTTTTGCAGAACTGGTGTTCACTAATCAGGCCTAAACATTATTTGCAAATTATCATGGCTGATGTGCATGCGCCGAGTAAATATCGGGCTGTAATACCGCTTCAGAATCGACCGGAATTCTCCGAAGCATTCCATTGTCCCACTGGCTCACCAATGAATCCGACAAGGAAGTGTTCTATTTGGTGATCAAAACCAAAGTGTCTGTTTTCACTTTTAGCCGTTCCTGGTCGGTAGACTGCTTATGTTTGAAGTTTTTGAAGCAGAGAACTGGGCTGTGAACCTCAGGTCCACTTGTCGCATTGTCGATTTAAACAGTGTTTAAACTTGATACTTTATTAAAATCACACCTTTACTAAAGCAATGGCAGTTTTTTACCACATTATCTATCAACTGCTTTATTCGATTTGCGTAACAAGGGAGGGAGCATTTGACTGTTATAAATTGTTCAGAACAGTGGTGTTTTAGCGCATGCTGTTCAGTATTAAGAGTGACTTGCTAGAAAGCAAACAATCACCTAGACGGACTCCGAAGAGGTAGGTTCAGGATCGAGGAGCTGTGAAAGCATCTTAATAACATCGTTGTCCCAAGTAGATTATTTTTCGGGCAGTCTTAAAATTCGCGTAATGTAATTTTGGGTTGTCGATTTCAGGAGGCAGCAGCGAATCGTTGCTTATCTCAGGAACACGGAAGCTTTCTTACAGTGTCAGCTGCATACTTTTACATCCGTCCGCCTTTTTGACTGATCTCAGTATGGCAAATGAAAGATTGTTGAATTCAACGGCAGTCTTCAGTTCTTGGGAAGAATGATTTGTGTGTTGTGGCAAAAAGCACTCTTGTGTGTATTTTTTTACTAGATCCAGATATATACTATTTTTGTCCAGAGCGGAGCTGCTTTGAAATCTTTTTTGGAAATATAGCATCAAGTAAGAAGCATCGGTTGCACTAGAGCAAGTGACACATCCAAAAATCCAAAAAAAAGGCTTTAAAGCTGTATGGATTTGCTGGTCCGTAATATATTTTGCTAATTTTTTCTACTGCACATTTTTTCTGACTAATTTAAGTCTCAATCCCTTAGGTTTTATTGGCACTTCTAGCGTGCTTCGCTCCAAAATTACAAGATTAGTTGATATTTGATTTAAAGCCATTTGTTTTTTTTTTCTTTTTGTGACTTTGCCTTCCAAAAAGAAATTGCTGATTTGCAATTTTACTAGACCAGACAGGAACTCGATCTCATTTCACAGTTCAAACTTTGGTGGGGCTTGGGATCAGATTTTAAGTTATTAATAAATCTGTTTTCAAAATTTCGAAGTTTGTGGCTTTGCTTGTGGGCAGGACCGCGATTCTAAAATTTCAGCCTGCCTTCTTACTAAGCTCAGTAGCCAGAAAATGCATGCTGTAGTGATTGTAACGAAGTGCCTAGAGATGCAAATGGCAACTGTACAACAGCGCTCTCAAAGCCCGAACTTGTTCTCGAAATTTCAGCTTCTTAGCTCTCATATATCTTGAGATGAATTATAAGACATGCACGTAGAACCTCACCAGAATATATTCCCCTTTACGTAACAAAAAAGCATAAAAACCGTGAAAGTGGTCGATAAACTAGTGTACTGCGCAGCCCACAATACCAGTCGCATTCTAACGACTTTACTACGGGACAGCAAAAACCAATGTTTAGGGAAAAAGCAACGTACACTGTTCACTGTTTTTTTTTTTCTTCACAAGCGCTGTAAATGACTTCGTTTTTGTAACTCGTTTTCAATAATTACTTAGAAAAAACTGTTATCTTTTATCAGTATTGTTACTGACCATTTTTCCATTCATCTTTTATGCAGTCTCCTAGCTTCTGTGGTTGGGCGAAAACCATCAAACAATGCCGAACATTTTACTGTAGGTGCCCTGCGGGGCTTACATTTGTGATTTGCAATTTGGTTAGTTCAGAAAAGGGAACTGAGGAAACGGAAAGAAAAACCATAAGCATAGTCAGCATTACAATTCTGCTTTGTGCGAAATTTGTTTATAACATTTTTGACGAAAGTGTCCAGTTACAAATACGATTAAAGGTAATGTGTAACGCCAGAATCAACAATTTATACAAATCTCTGTTTGGATTTGCAAGCTTCCGTCACTTCAGTTGTTTTTAGCGTCCGAAGTCGCTTGGGCTGGTGGCCGTTGTTAGGATTTGTTCGGCGGCCTTCTATGGACGTCGGTAGAGTACATTATCTACAGTTCGAGAAAGGCTACGAGGGTGTATATACATTCTAGACGTCCAGCATTAAATACTATTTATGCGTTTTGTGCTGCGTAACAGCAGTACAAAACACATATTGTCACGGGGTTGTGTGTGTTTCCCAAATTTTATCCCGCACTTTCAGCTCGAGAACCACAAAAGCCTGGTACGCTTCGCTATTTATTTTTAATAATAAAATTATAATCCTTCGCTAAACAAGCGCACTGCATTTTTCCGCTAAAACCCCTTTACATTAGGTTTTTTTTTTTGCTAAAAGCCTCCTACCTTTGCTATAGGGTTTTTTCAGATTCTTGACAATGCAAAAGTGTTGCCTGGAGTGACCTGGCGGCAGATTCAATCCTGTCCTCTCGTTCCCTGTCAGTTCGAACTGTTAAAAAAAATGAATTTACGTCCGGACTAAACACTAGCCATCCTTAACGAAAACTTGAGAACAAGGTTAGAAAAGCTATTCTCCACCATGTTCTCACTGACATAGCTGGCAGAAGGAACCAAAAAACGCAAAGTTTCTATGTGTTTACCTCCAGCATGACGACCGAATCATTAAAAGAATGCTACACTACAAATTCCCATTGATGAAATGATTTTCCTGTTTGCGTTCGAATTATCGCAAACACACTCATGTTTCCACGCACAGAACCCACGCTTCTGGAAACTGCAATAACAACAATTTCGCTCTTGAAAATCTCAGTAAAAAAAGTTGGGAGAAAAAACAGATGTCCTCTAATAATTTGTACAATTAAACACTTTGTAGAAGGTAAAAACATAGTTTCCGCCAACAAATGCGATTCAGATGCACCATTTCGCAAAAAACATTCGACTCATCGTATATAAATCACAGTCATTGCGAAAACTTCTCGAGCAGCCCAAACGCAATGAGCACCAGATCTGCAGATGAGCGGCGAAGTTAAAACGAATGCCTATGATCTAAGATCCGAAAAACGGATGAAAATCAATACGCTAAGCTCATGGAAAGCCACATCTGTCTGAAACATGAAAAGAAAATGGACAGAAATTCTAGCACGCGCTTGACTGCATTTTCGGTTTTCCGACAGTGCGATAACATCGGCAGTGAAATCGACACTCTACATTGCTCCCGTGAAACCAGTTGCATGGGATCGAACTAGATAAACATTCATAATGCTTCGGGTAAACTACCATAACTTAACTAGACACAGAACACTCCCCGTTAATTTCGGCGAGTTGTAACACATTTTCATACGAGACAATACAATATTGTTCTGGCATAAAAGATATTATCCAGACACTATGTAATAGATGAATTAGCTGAACTGGTAACGTGTAAAGAGTGGGCAACATCAAATAAATAAAGCGAACTGTTAAATGCGAATTATTAAGCAAACATATTAAAAAACTGCCAAAAAGAATGCTAAAAAACTATCAATTTTAAAAAACTGTTAAAAAACTATCAAGAGGCCATTTCTTATTCTTCCTGTATGGCCTTTTAGAAATCTGACAAGGCCAACACCAAGAATGGAACGATGCCATCTGTACCAGTGATGAGAAACAGCAAAAAGGCGAAACAGTAGCTAATCGACGGATCAAAGTAATAAACTCTAAATAAAATCACAATGAAAACAATTTGGCTCTTCAGATTTCTGAGTCAGCCATCTCCCGCCAAAACTTCCACGTATCCGTACGCTAAAACAGTCCGTGTCTAGGAAGAGAGCTTGAAATCCAAAAGATGTGTTTGAGCAAGAAACATACAACTAAAATTTCGTTTTTTCAGCTTTTTCGGTCCTCGAGTAAGCATTTTTCCCGTCAAAACTTTCACGTGTCCGTCGTGAGAACCAAACATACCCACAGGGTAGATCTGAAATCCTTGGGCTTCACGCAGGCAGGGGACACACCCTTAAAATTTCAGCTCTCCACCTTTTCCAGTTGCCGAGTTAGCAGTTTTCCTGCCAAAACTTTCACGCATTCGTTCATGGAGCCCAGACGTGCGCGAAAGTCCCCGGGTCATACGTGGCGAGAGAACCTACCGACAAAATTTCAAAGTCAAACCCCGCTTGGTTGCTGGGTTCAAATATCCGATGGGCGCATTCGCTCACACACACACACACACACACACACACACACACACATATCATGCGTAACTTCAGTACGGGTTTTCGCATTTGCATTTAGGCAAAAATGTGCAAAAAGTTAAGAAAAAACTGAAAATCTAAAAACAAGTGAAGCAATTTGCCCGTGAAATAAAAAAAAAGTGATTTTCTTTCGCAAAAATGATTTTGCTTAATAACATTCAATTGAAACAGCGCAAATTACACAACATCTGTTCTCAGATGAAAAGGACAAAAAAAAAACGGCTCCAGCTGCCATAAAAACAAAAGAACACTTGAAAATATTCCAATAAGACGGCATTCGCACATAAGAGAAGTATGGCAGACATGAAATATCACGGCAATCCTCCCTCCCCCTCCCCTCAGAAAAATACGATGGTATTAGACCGTAAAACGATCCAGCCCTATAGCCCAAAACAGAACGGTCGGGCAAAGCTGTGCTGGCTACAGCATGGAATATGGGGCACCCATAACCCCAACGATTATAAATAATAAAAATTAATTCAACAAACAAAAAAATTGTAATAACTCAGTGCCTGCTGTGCGACAAATACTTTGTAGCATCGGTCAAGAAGAGGGCATAATGTCAGCGTCCACAATATCGAGACCTGTTTCTGCAATATCCAGCATATTTTGGACTTTTTCGGAGATACGGTAGTAATCAACCAGTGATTTCTCCTTTATCTTATAAAGCCTTCTAGCGAAGTGCTCTCCTGAAATGTTTGACATTACGCTGCATACAAAATTTGGTCACTGAACACTCACTGATTTGCCATTGCTCCTAAATGCCCATTCATAACCAAGGATGGAAGTTTCGCACAATTCCTCTAAGCAGCTACAAATGGTACCTGTTACACAT